CCCACCTGATAAAACGAATATTTCCCAAAAACTGGAGTATCTAGCAGTATCCCAGTGAAGGAATACGGTAATCACCGCGAACTCACTGCCGCGTGCATACCGGTGACCGTGGGAATTCGGGTACAAGGCCTGCCATCCGACAAAGTGTTACTCGATGGAATCGCTATAGTGCAGGATGCAAATGTGTCATAACTGCTAAGTAAAACTGTTACTCGGTGAGAAGCCGAGCACATTGAACAAAATTGCACTCTCTAAGATATTCTTTCCCTCTACACACCGCTTAGGTAAAGATAGTCGAACAGCAGTAAGTTACCGTATAGCATCCCTGCAAGGTCTCAATAACATTGGAATGAGAACTATGATCAAGGCAGAGGTCTACAAAGGGAAGCGCTTTCGAACTAGGCATTTCTATCGGCTTTGAGAGGCAAAAAAGACAAAACCGGTTTTAAAAAAGGGTGACAAGGGTGGCAAGGTCTACTGAACAAACCTATGATAGGCAAAATCTTCATAAGGACATTCGTCAACATTTGTGACAAAAGGATCACACAGCAGCCAGAAGACGTTATCACAAAAGAACTGTGGCTCGATGACGTAACATTTCAACAAATTTAACTGGTAGTAGACGTCAGCCAACGAGGCCACTACAAAATTGTGAACCTAAATGAAAAAGGAGGTATCGAGCATAATTCGTTGCTTAAAAATTTAAATGAGCATGTACCTGCGAATATTGCTCAATATTACTGTAGGAATGACGGAGTACAGTGTTCAGATCGACCCAATCGGCTCCTAACTCGCTAGTAATGACCGTAGGCGTCTCATCTTTGACAATAATAGCAACAATTGGAATGATATGAGGGATAATCCGAAAAGGGCGATATTCGGACTCGATCAGCTCCTGAAAAGTTTTCTAAAGGGTTTCAGACGACATCTTTCCTTTCTCAGAATAAAAAGTCGGAAACCGTAAAATGTTGTGGGAAGGAGTAAGACCCTGATTTCAAACGGCCCCGTATCTTTTAGGAAGAAACTGTGAAAATGCCATCCGTTGAACAGGAGTAAAGGAAATTCACTTGAAGAATCGAGCAAGTAAACAGATTCTCCAAAAATATGTCCATTTGCGAAACCATGTGGGAAAGGGTAACCCAGCCTATGTATTCAAAGTTCCGTCGAAAC